GAATATGCACAACACGACTTTCATACCCTCGTTTCAAAAGAATGTTGGAAACAAAAAAAAACCGAGGATTTAAAAACCCTAAATCTGTAGTCTATTGTAAAACAATCTCAACAATTTAATCCCTGCCGTGTCCAGACATGAGAAGTTTTACTTTGATGCATTATCAACTATTTACGTGGCACAATCTTACAGGAAGCGAATCGAGGCTTTTACAGGCTCTGTGACAAATTGCAAATATAGGGGATGAATATAAAATGAGCTGATATTATAGCAAAGACAGGAGTATTCCGTTACTATATGGGTCAGAGCGCTGCACTTTTACAAAGCAATTGTAACTGAATACCGGTGAATGAGGATTTGTGGATTTGAAGGCAGAAAAGGGTAAGGTACTTGAAAGTGAGAGCTGGGAAAGGGCAAATCACCGAGAGGCACTGACGTGGCAACTGTGGGTCTTTAGTGGAGGCAATGACTTAGCGGCAGACAGTGGTGATGATGCAAAGCCTAGGCCTTGAAGACGGGGCATGAAACGTGCAGAACGAATGAAGAAAGAGAAGGTGATGTCTGGAGGCACGATTAGCTCAATCATTGGTCATGATGACCTCTTCATCGTGAGGCGAACTATGAAAGAGCAAGAATGAACCAGGAGAAGGGTTTCCATGTGGAATATGTCCCAAAGTGTCACAACTTTTACACACCCCGAGTCAAACCAGCAAACCCAACCAGACTAACCACTCTAACCACAAGGCCATTAACCTGCAAACGAGTGCGTGGCAATAAACTACACTAAAATTATTGTTATTTCACCAGGTAAGGCCACCTGGTCACAAAAGATAGCTCAACGAAGTGGTTCATCACGTAGAAATGTATGGCAGCCAAATACTGTAAACGCGTGTTTTTAAATGTGGAGGGGAAAATTGGAGGACCCGGAGAAAAATCCACACGACGACGGGGGGAGAGAGATGCAAACTACAAATATACAACGTCGTGATTTTTATTATTATTTTATTATGTTTCTATCTACGTGACTTTACCGAAAAACCCAAAGAGTACAAATATACAGGCGTCAGGGTCAGGATCGAACCCACGACCTCCTGCAATACATGTAACGGCATAATATTGGTAATTTAAAAAAATGCTATTACTTAAGAGTTGAGCAACTCCTAACAAAACGGGTTACCGAGTGGTTACGGTCCGTTCTGGGCAGCGTGAGCCTGGAGTTAAGGCTTGGGGCAATGCAAATGGCGAGCCGTTGTTTGAAGGAATACAGAAAGCCCGTTATTGTTTATTCGCCAACAGAAACCCGCTGGGGGCCCGCTTCATGTCTGGCAGAACAATGCGTCCCAAGTGTGGACAACGTTTTCACATCATCCCATGGCATCTCTTACGTACAATCATTATTGACATTTTTATTATTTGCTGACATCACTGGGAATGGATGAACGCAATTTTCAATGATGATAATAACAATAACAATGGATATTTCGCTTTACCCATGAGAGTCTCACTGAGAGTCGAGGTTCTTTTCCGGGAGGGTCACACTGGGGATGTGAGCCTACTGTACACAACACTCGCCCATGAGGTGTCAGTGCCAGGTCTCTAATTTCCCAACGTCAAGTCAAAGCGTCTCTACGCTCAAGTGAGCAACTCGGCAGTTCTCATCTCCATGGGCAGCCTTGAGTCTGGTTGTAAATTCCGCACCCCCCCCCGTGACAAAGTCAAGACTATTCATAGGATGTCAAATGTTCCACTTCCTCATCGTTTTTTGTTTTCACCATGTTTGCTAAGCACAGGCCCAAAGCTGCAACATATCAAGTGGCCAGCAACAAACAGCACGACTGATGGTGTAACCAGATGAGTTTAAAGGTTTCTCGAATTGGTGAAGGTTGCGAGAGGTCGGGAAAGGCGACGACGTCTGGGGGATTCCGAGTGGAGCGGAGCGAGGGGAAGCAGCAGAGAGAGAAGCGTCGCGACCTGGCAGCGTGGTGGCTGAACACAAACTGATCGCAACCAATCAGTCTGGCAGCCCGAGTTCTCCACTGAGTGGAGGAACCGATGAGTGAAGTGTGTGGGAACAGGAACCATTGTAGCAGCAAGAGAACAGTGATTCGGAGGTGACCGACCATCTGTGAACGAGTGGCCTGAGGAGTGAAACAGTGAATGCTGGATCATCAATCGACCGGACTGCTTTACTCTGAAATCTATCGAGTGCAGTGAGGTGGAAACTGGATGCTCCACCCCAGATATTACAACTTATGTTGTGCATTGTAAAGTTAAAATCATTGTTCAGAGTTATCGAAGGCTTTGGTCCAGAAAATAAATCCAAGCTTCTTTGGTGCCTCCTTAAACAGATTCGTAACATAGGCAATTCCATGATGGGCCAAATGGAATTGTTGTGCCGAGCTGTGCCATGCAGACATGATTTTACTAGGAATAAGAATTACAAATTAATATGGTACTGATTGTATTGATGCTGGGAGGATGATGGACTGAATCAACCCCCCCCCCTCCCCACCAGGATTTGAACTAATGACCTTCCAATTGTGAGTCAAGTGCTCTAAGTAACAGCACCATGTGACTGAATTGATTATAAAGAGGCTTCTAGTTAATAAATAACAACTGCTCTTTCCTTGCCTGTTTAAGTGTGTGCTTAGCTAGGAAGGATATCTCATTGACCATGCTGCCACGTGACAATAATTGGCTCGCAGAGAATGAATGGTGCGGTAATCAAATGAATGAATGATAAAACAATACACATGCAAGAAGAGGTTGCGTGTGGCATTTGGAATAGGCTCGGGGTTATCGTAACGAGAGCACACACCACCATATGGTCAATATTAGAATTGCATTTTTATCGATTCCCTCCAATAATTCATGTGCGTTGTGCGCACCGTCCTTGACTCATTTCAGCAGGCAATTTGCCCCCCTTGGTAAAGCAGCAGGGCCTCCGGCCACGAGGTCACGAGTTACACTCGTGGTCGAGCGTTGACTCGACTTACAACGAACCCTACAGGGTTAGTAAGAACGAGCACCGTCAACCGCGGGTTCTCCTGTCGATGAGAGACCGCTTACTGGCACAGGAATGTGGAATTTCCCTACATACAACAACAAAAATTGTCTCCATGTTCCAAGGCGCAACTCATATCTGTTGTAAGCCCTGAGTGAGCCACGCAAACTCCATTATCCTTTGCCAATGGGAAGTTGCTGGACAGCACGGCTTTGTTGACTTCCCACAATGCGTTATTAATTTAATCAAACCCCGATGAGCAACGGGCTAAGTTATTCCCCGAATGAGATTTGAAATACATTTTGTAATTGCTTGTCGTTGGAACACTATACTCTTTGGTTCTTTCAGGTCAAGTCACGTAGGTAGAAAAATAAAATGAAAAATAATATATCACGACGTTTCGATGGCAACACAAGCGGTCGTCCTCAGGTGGAAAAAATAATCCAGCAGTGGAACTGCTGAGCTCAACGTTTGACAGTTGGAACACTGTCAAACATTCTAAACTTTTGGGGATTTTAGCGATGATTTTAACAAAAAAACCAACTCTTCTGAACTATGTTACGGGGGTCTTGAGTATCCACTTACTCTACAGCGGGGGGCACACTTTGGTAATTCACGACAAGATTTCCAGGGGGACTACGGGAATCCAAATATGGGCTCGTTATCAAGCATGCCGCCTCTTCGTTTCACCATCTCAACACTGTTATGCAATCCACACCAAGCGAGCAGGTTACATGAAGAAGTGTTAGTACCCACACCATATCACAGGAGAAGGGATTGGCCAGCTCACAGCAATGCATCTACAATATTGGTAAACGCAATGGTAGATTGAAGTCGTTTCGAGCATCTCGTTCTGCCAATTCCGACCGGTGCACGGGCAGCGGTGCGTAGACTTACACCGGTGCGTGAACACGTCACTCAATTACGGTAAACGGTCTGAGCCGTAGCCCGCCGTGCGTCACGACAACACGTGTGCGTCTAAACCGGTATGAGGGACGTGGAGGCACCGCGCGGTCAAGAGGAATGGTCTCATCTCCCGATTGGGGGGGCGGGGGTGAGTGTCCGTCGGTACAACGGGCCACGGTGCTGTGTACAGTGCGCATTAACGTGCTCAATGAGAAGAAATAAATCAGCGAGCGTGGTGACCGGCGGGGGAGAAACGACGAGCGATGCCAAGAAGACGCTGACGACGACGACGACAGCGGCGAAAGCCAACAAGAGCCTGCAGCTTTGAATTCAAGACGTCTGGTTGGTAAAGCCACACGCATCGGCTGTTTTTTTTTACTGAAGTCAGCATCTAATTTAAAATTTTCATTAATTACTGCAAATTAACCGACTGGGATGTGCGAGGACGGATTGCGTGACTCACAAACCAAAGGTTTGTGCATTCAAGTCCCAGTTGGGGGTAAAACCAGCCTACCAAAGACAAAGATTCCCCATATAGTCTTTGCAGACTTTTGGGGCAGGTGCGGTTAGCGAGCACCTGTGAAGGCCGGCACGGCACACAAGAGGGGTGAATGGCCAGCGCCACGCCCGGCCGCGTTTGTCTCCCCAGTGGCGATTTTTTCACATCACACCAAGTATTGATTTGAAGCTGTGTCGACCTCGGGGAGGCCCAGGACCGGTTCAGATAATCGTCACTGGTGTTGGCCGTCAGCGGGAATCGGACTTGGTTAGCCAGGTTCTGAGCGCAGCATAGCGCTAACCCGCTTCATACCCGCTCCCCTCGAATCAGCCTCCCACCATCTTCATCTTCCCTTCAGAGTTGACTAAACATGTACCGCCTTGACAGAAATCAGCAGTGGGTTGTCCGATTAACTTACCCGCCTCTGTCAAACAAATGTGGAATTTCCACTGCTGGTTTAGGCCCACCACCAGAGATAAGTGCCGTTCCGCGTTCATTTAAGCCTTTGATTTTTGTTGTTGTTGTTGCTTACAGACATCAAGGCCCGACGAAATTTGGAACCGACGTGTATGTAACATTTGTCGACCGTGTCAGAGGCTATCGCGGATTTCTGCGCACGCCCTCATTAAAAGCGCGATGCTAAAGAGCAGGATGATTCCCTCCTGGGAGGGCGGCAGTCAGCGAGGGCGCGGGGAGAGGCGGGGAGGAGAGGCACAACATCCGCTGCTGCTGCTGCGTGTGCGCGAGAGAGCAGGCAGAGCGAGCGAGCGAGCGAGGGAGGGAGAGCGCGAGCGAGTGTGCCGCACGCGCGCGCGCACACACACACGCTCACCCCGCTCGCTCGCACTACGGGTTAGAAAGTAGCGGAGGATCACGACTCGTTCTGCTCTCACTCTCCAGCCCCCGTGGACTGGGGGCTGAGTGGCGGACCAGGGACGGCACGGGAGACAGGTTGTGACCGTGAGATGGAGCGCATGACAGGGGTTATACACAAGTCTGCACGTCAAACCTTGCTGGCGGCCGAATAAAGGATCGTCGGATTACGAGAGAAGCATCGACACGTGGGTGACTTAAACTGTGATCGCCTGCTAACGACGCCAGCTCAGGTGAGGTGGCTGCTGTTGTTGTTTTACGTGTCGGAGAGCATCGACCGCAATTGCTATCACGAATGAGCAGACGCAACTGTGCGCGTAAAATTTAACAAGGAATGAGGTGATCGTGTTAATGTTGTGTTTAAACACACACACACGTCCATAATCATAATACATGCGTCTAGTTTGTGTATGGTGCGTATGGTAATTTAAAAATATATATATAGGATTAGGTTGGATACTGGGAAATAACAAGGCACTAAAACTCAAGGTGGAAGTTGCATATCTCGATATACATTAGAACAGTGGACGAGCACAGCAGCGGCGCATTGCATGATGCAGTGGCTTTCAAAGGCATACAAGCGATTAATTATCAACACAACAAGAAGGGATCGGAGAGCCCGTGATACCCCAATGATGACGGTGGGACAAGCGATCACTTTATGCATCTGTTTAACTTTGCATGGGCAATTCTAATTTCCTCGTGTCAGGAGGAGGCCCCGCGCATTCTCTTGTGAATATGTATGAGGGGTTACACGAGGAACATGAGGAGCGGGATTAAATCTGCAAAGCTGCGACTGCCCCATAAATCTAACTTGCTCTGTAATCAGGGCGGGGAGGCGCTGGGCGGTTTGGGTGGAAGGAAAATCCATGGAGAGCCGAGGAAACCAATAACGTTCGAGTTGTTTAGCCCAAGCTGGTGCCGTAGCGTAAGGAGGAAGGTTTCGGGATGGGGAAATCGGCGCTGCCTCGCCGCGCGTGGCGAGAACGCAGACGATGGTGGCAGCGGCGGCAGCGACAGCGAATGCGAGTTCGCCAAAAAATCTCGCCGGCGCGGAACGATTTTACCGCCGTCACCGGTGACGGGATGATCCGGGGAAGGAGCAGCGGGTGCTTGCGTCCCTTTGATCGCTGGCAGCGCCGCCCGGACCGCCCCGCCCCGCCGCCAGTGACAAAAGAGCTCGACCTTGTGGCTTAGCGGCCCGTGGTTTACAAGTTCCCGAAACTTCAACCGAATTATGATTTAGTAAAAACCTGAAAGTGAGAAATCCAGTCACCCGTGATTCATTTGACTACGGGAGGAGAAAGGGAATGTAAAAGGAGCTTTGCGACTGTAACGGTTTTGAATCGCTGACCGCCGAACGACCTGTGTGTTCACGTGCGTTGATCTGTGCGTCTCCCCGTGCGCTGTGGAGTGCGAGCGAGGTTGGGGTGCCTGCGAGTCGACACTACACAGGAGGAGCCGCAGACCGGACGCGTGGAGGAGCGCAGCCACTCTCCAGAAGCTCAACGGACCACGGTGGATTGATTAGCATATCTCTAAATGCCATAATTTTCGGCACATTAGTACGACACGGCAGAGAGTAGAACATGCAATAGCCACACAACTGCCAATGGAAGAAAAATGCCTAACAACTGCGTATCTACATGAATCTACATATATTTAAGCTGTGTCTGAAACTGCAGAAAGAGAGAGTTGGATAAAACAAAGGGGCAGCTGATGACCGTGCGTGTGCCTCTCACTACCTTCAGGAGGCAAAGTGATAACTCTTGCGCTGAACTGGGGGCTACAAGGACACGTGACTTTCAACATTGAAAAGCTGCCAGAATCGTTGACGAGGTGCGCCTCTGCCCAGTTCCCACGAGGCCCGAGCTGCACGTGTCAAATAACGATCGTCGAGCGATAAACCAAAGGCAGAATAGCCCCTTCAAAGAAGCAGAGGCTGGCTTGGTCAACTGTCTTCTAAGGCAAGTGGAATTTAAATTGGCTGAAAATGAAATCCCCAGTAAGTGAAGAGGGAAATAATAACAACGATGTCAATAAACGAAAGGAACAAATTAAAGTGCGATATGAAATAGGTTTGCTTGGAATGGATGGTTTATGACCTCGTACGCGCCAAGTGAATCACAGTCCGGTTTCACGACATGCAGCGATGTGCCTTGACGTGCGTATGAGGCTCCGTGTAATGGATGTTGCTGCTGCTGCTGTAGCTGGATAGTTCATTGTGAAACTCATGGAGAAGGCCCACGGCCCACCTGAATACAGCAATTCACTGCATTGACAAGGGACAAAACGAACAATAACCGATTAAATCAAGCGGAAGGTGCAAGCAAACAAAGGAACTTAACGAAAGAAAAGTGGAAAATCACGACAATAATAATCAAAATAATCGTAATAACGAAACCTATTTGAAGGAAAAGCACGCGCATGCCGAGAAAGTTGTAACGCCGCGTGAAAACGGTCTCAGCAGCGGCACAGCAGCCGGCTGGCCGGCCGGGAGCAGCCCACGACCACTCTCGCCCCGAGCGAGCAAATTGGACACCGTGCTACCAGCTGCCACCGCCGGCTCATGAATTTTTAAAGCGGGACCCAAAACGGAAACGAGTGACATCGTCGCGCCAGTCGCTCGCAGCGAACGCAGGAGCAGCGGCGGTGGGGCCGGATCGGCGTGACCACGCCGGGGAGGGGGAGCAGCGCCGGGGCAAGGAGCAGGTACCGACGGGAGCGCGCGGCCGGGGTGGCGGAGACGCCGAGTCTCGGCGCTGGGGAGCCAGTAGTTGCCAACGCCTCGGGGCTCGCAAATATGTGCCGAGTCAGCGCCGGGTCAGCAGCTCCGAAAGCCCCACGTGAGTAGGCGAGCAAGCGCAGCTCCGCCGGGACGCACTCGGGGACGTGCCGTCACGTTCGGCGGCGACGTTGGGGGGCCACGAGTCCACCGACGCTGCGCGCAGCAGGAAGCGATTTCCCATGCGAGCGTGCACAGTAATGCGGCGGCAGGAACAATCAACAGACACGCACACAGAAAACTAAATGACATTAAAAAAAGGCTTACTGTTGCGAAATGAGTACGGTGCAATCAGCCAGTGGTAAAAATTCGACAGTCTGGGCTCATAACCCCACAGGGCAACCACAGTAGAAAAGAAAATCCACACGTCTCAAGAGACGGAGTTCACCTCTGTTGGCAAAACTGAATCAGAAGCAGGAAGTGTGTAGTCCTATGGCAGGGGCCAATAGGAATACAAAGACACACGCACATATTATTTGTGCGGCGCCTCTCAATTGAATGCACTTAAAAGCACTTAAAATATACGACACACACAGACGTGCTGTTATTCGCCGGTTATAGATCCTGCCATGGGTGGGATCTGAAAAATGTGTTAATTTTGCTTTCCCATTAAGCCCACCGAGAGACGTGTTTAATGTGTTAAGCTATGCTACCACTGCACCGAAATGTGCCAACTTAAAACAAATTTGGGAGGCGCAGTAATTAAGAACGCCTTGGAATGAAGCTTTTATATTTGTTTTACAAAAGATGTGGAAATTGCTTAGCGGTAGTTTAACGAATACTTGCATCCGTCCTGGTGTCTCATGCATGTCGACGGTTAATATGGTCAGAGAGAGGGTGGAGTATGGTGAGCTTGCAGCAGAGGAGGCTGGCGACAACGATAAATTGCAGATAGGAGAAGAGATAAAGATAGGTGGAAAGATAGCGGCACAGGGAGACGGACGAGTGCGTCCAATAGTCGGCGATCGCGGCAGGCGAAGAAGGGAACCCGGCGTGGCACGAGTGGGAAGGACGGAACGTGGAGTTATTCGTTCCGCAGCCGGACGACAACGCTTCACGCGTGTTACGTCGGTGAAAATGCAGAGGTGCGCGGCCGCCCGGCGCGACTTCGAGTGACGGACCAAATGGAAACGCTGCGGCCCGCACCGGCAGGCGGCATGAAGCTCAGCGAAACCCCGTCGGTGGCGAACTGCACCGAGAACGCGAATCCGACGTGCCGCCCAGACGACCCCGGCCAGGCGACGGCCGACTCGGACCACCCGCCGGACGCCTCGTGCAAAAAGGTGCCGACCGACGGGCGCTTCAAGCTCGAGGACTGGCTATCGGAGGCGGGCCTGTCTGCCGCCAGCCACGAGAACAACAACAACGTGGAGATCCTGTCCACCGCCATGCACGTGCTGCAGAGGGCCGACGTGATGCTGCAAGGCCTCGCTCAGGCCGACGGGCGGGCGGGCGACGAGGAGCGGCGGGTCGCCGGTGCCGGGCGGCCCGACGGGGTGCGCGAGCGGCCCCCGAGCGAGCCGCCGTGGGCCCCGTACGGGCGGGACGCGGACGGGCTGCCGTCGGCACGCTCGCCCCGCGCGCCGCCATGCAACCCCCTCGCCGCGCGGCTGTCGAGGCTCGGCGGGTACGACGGGAACGCCCAGCCGTGGAGGGGCAGCGTCGGGCAGCCGCCCCGGTCTCCGGCGGTGGCGGCGGAGTCCGAAAAGTGGCGCTCTGCGGAACGCCCGGACCGCGGGCCGCCGGCGGCCGTGACGTGCGGCCGGCCCGCGAGGCCGGCGCTTCTCAAGCTCGACGGGAGGGAGGACGTGGAAAAGCGACGGCGCCGGAGGCAGCTCAAGGCCTTCCAGGTGCGCTTCAAAGACCTCTGCGATGACGCCGACGAGGGCGGCGGCGGCGGATCATCGGCGGCCGCCAAGGACGGAGAAGGTCGCGTGGCGACGCAGGCCGACGCCAGGCCCGAGGTGGACGCCGAACCGAGGAGAACGCTCGTCAGCAAAGTGCCCACGTCACGGCGCTTCTTCCGGCCACTCCACTCGCGCTTGGGAGAGAGGACGCTGCACAGCTCGGCGACGCAAACGGCGGCGGCGCCACCCGAGGACGGTGCGGGGAGCGCACAAAATGTGGCGGCACCAAACGCGTGCTGCCCGGGGAGCGCCCGTGGCGCTCGGTGCGGCCAGTGGCTCGACGACGGTCCGCGACGGGCACCGGCGGACACGGAGTATCGGCCTTCGTCATCGAGCGCTAACGGGGAGCCACGTGCGGTGGCCAACGTGCTCAACGCCGCTGGAGCTGCGCACGTCAAAATTCACCGGCCGGTAGAGACGGCGTGCGGTGCGCGGTGGCTGCCGGCCACAACTTCTGCGACGGAACCGACTAAAAAGCTTTGCGGCGATGCACAAATGAACGGTGATTGGCCAACATCGCCGATCGCGAGGAGAACATCTCCTTGCCGCGACGGTGGCGTAAAGCCCAAGGACCGTTTGAACTCTGCGCAGACGAATGCGAGCAGCTCTCCGAGCACGAGCATCGGGGCGTCGGACACCAGAGCAAGCGACGTGACCGGCGTGCAACCTCCGGGGGTCGAGCGCGGAGGCCAAGAAACCTCAGTCGCGGCGGTCTCTCCACCAGCGTGCTCCGATGTTGAGGTCGGGCAAGCAGACGAGGCCGTGGGACAGGCTGCTGGCTCTTCCTGCACACGGAAGGAACCGGAGCCCCGTCGCGACACGCTCAACGGTGCGGCTCCGGATGGATCCGCGACCGAGGAGAGGGGGCGCGCGGCGCGGCCGGGCGAGAGCCAGGCCTCGGCCGACAGGGAGGAACGAGGCGGCGCGAGTGACGCCGAGGCGATGCCGAGAAACGACGCGCGGCGGGGAGAGGAAGCGAGCGGCGACGCCGGCGCCAAGGGAGACGCGGGCGGCCCGGAGAACGAGCCGAAGGACGAGTCGAGGACGGCGCCGGTGACCGGCGAAGGGACGAGCGGCGTTGGCGGCGGAAGTGGCAGTGGCGGTGGGGGTGGGGGCGGCAGTGGTGGCGGCGGAGAGTCGCAGGCCTCGCAGAACGAGGTGAACGCGCTGCGGGAACGCCTGGCCGCCATGGAGGAGGTGCTGCGTGCGAGCCAGGACACCATCAAGCTGCTGCTCGAGGTCATACGGCAGCTGGAGCGGGCAGACGCCACGCGAAGGGGGTAAGGCGGCACGCACGCGGGGGAGGGGGGGCACGGGGGGCACGGGGCTCGCGCGTGCACACGAGACATGGGAGCACGTAAACGGACGCACATGACAGAGATGAAGAATTTAAAAAGTTTGAATATACACGTGAGACTCATTGAAAAAGCTCTATATTTAAAAAAAATTTTGTAAAGGAAACAATTGTTTATTGCACACATTCTCCCACCTCCCCATTGTATCAGCTGGCCAAGAAAATGTGTCTGGCTTGAAAAATGTACTTGCAGATGGTTACAAAAACCGAAAGAAAAATCGTATATTAACACTGAATAATTTCTTTAGGTCCATGCATAAAGCCCTCTGATCTTGCAACACTGTGAGCAAGGAAGAAGTGGCTCCGTACAGGAAGCAGTTTGCTAAATTATATATGTTACCTCCAGATGTAAAGAGAATCAGTCAGGGAAATCAAGCCACAAAATAATAATTAATCAACTTAGTCAACCCACCAAGGAGTCAACTGCGTTGTTTAGTGGAACGGTTGAAGGTGAGGGACGTATTTTGTTCCTGTTAAAGTCTTCCGTAGTCTATCGTTTGCTTGTGTTTTTTTCTTTGGTTCAAGGGACCCTATTTCCCCGATCTCCCCGATCTGGCAACGTCGATCTGAATTTGGACACACATGCAGGGCCCAAAGGGAACTTTGCGCACAGTTTAATGAGTGCACACGTGGCTCTGTCAGCGAGGAGGCAGCGTAGGACACATCTCGCTTCACGGACCGTGAACGGCACACTCCGGCGGAAGGAGCCAGATCACCTACAGGGTTGTTCATAATGTTGACGCCCCACCGCATAGCGCAGCCTCGCTGAGTGGTGATTATGTTACCGAACTAAAGAGGTTTTTAGATGCACTCGCGCTGTCTATATATGTGTGCATATACAATGTTTGCAGTAATCGTGTAAACGTTGCCACTGCGTCACAAACATGGGTCTCGGTAGCTTGCAGAGACTGGATGGTGGCTCTGTTTTCAGGGCTGGAGTGCGGACTGCTGTATATGTGACAAACATGTGGGCGCGTTTCCCTTATTTTCACGAGAGGCAGATGTTGCCACTTAAGAGCAGCGGAAGCATGAGAGAGAGGAGCGCTCGATCTCTCTGTGAGTTTTTGTCATTCGACCGCTCGCTCACACCACTCACTCACTCTCTGTAGTGCAGTCAGTGCTGCTCACCACTCAAGCAGACGAGTCATGTTCCTGCCACTCCTAAGTGGCCGGCAGTATGAGATTATCGTACACAAGTGTGAGAGTGTGTATATGAATGTGTACGTATGTATGTGTGGGTGTGTGTGGAGATCGGTAGTGGAGCAGTTATAGCCCGCTGCACTTCCAACCCGGCGACCCGAGTTCCGACGATTGTCTGAACCGGTCCTGAGCCTCACGTAGGTCGACTCAGGCTCAAATGAGTACTTGGTGCGGTGTGTAGACATCACTCTGGGAGCCAAAGGCAGCCGGGCATAGTGCTGGCCACTCACTCGCTCGTGTGCGGTACCAGCCTTCATAGACGCTCGCGAACAGCACTTGCACCGACAAGTTTTCTAAGGCTATCCCGGGGAACTTTGTCTTTGCATGCATTGTACATGGGTGAAGAAGTGGTGCAGCAGAGGCACGGACACTGTGCTCCGATCTCAATGATCCGAGTTTGTTTTCGTACCACGGAACAGCATCGTCAATGGCACACGATAGTTGAACTTGTCTTGGGCCTTGCCCGGTTCAACCTGGCCTCACACGGGCGCTTCGTGCAGACTGTGAACATCCACATTGTTGAAACAATCGTGGCCGGCCTTGTGAGCTAATAACTGCACCGCCACCCACCTGGTGCTACGACATTAACATGTCGTTAATAAACAACGCGGCATTACCCCAACAGCTACCTGACGAAGCGGGGACATTTGCTTTTCATGCATGTGGCTGTCGGACTTAGTGCAAGCCAACAGGACTCGCCATTATAGTCAGTGACATGAGTATGAGGGTCTTGGCGTGGAGCTATGCATTCGCTCATAGGTGCATGTGCAAGCGCACGTGTCCGCGTATATACGTGCCTGTTCAAGCATATCTCTATGCACCAGGCAATGTTTAAACTCTTGATAAACTTGAAATGCGTAAAACGTCAGAGCCTGCGATGTAGCGCGCAACAGTATAAAGAAACTGCCACCCAATCGATCGCCGCAACGCGACGCTCGCAATTATTGTCAGCAAAGTGCAATTTTCTCACAAACGGCAACGTGTCGCCAACGTAGCACGCGCACACACGCACAGAGACGCACCCACGCACACATATACAGCCACAGACTCACACACAGCCACAGGCACACACACAGCCACGGACACACACACAGCCGTGAAAATACGCCCAACCTCTAAGCTCTGAAACGCCCTCATTGAAGCTCAATATGATACAATCTAAGCAATGTGGATTTAACAAAAATAACACCGTCCCTTAATTCCATTCTCCGCTTCCCATATCTTTTTTAAGCAGCCAATCAAATAAAACATTTGAAGGAGTTTTTGATGAGACAAAGCACGGTAATCTTGTAAGCTAATCATCTGCAAGCGCTGCACATGCAAATTCTAACCAGCAGTACAAAGCAGACTGATACGTTGCTGTGAGAGGTCTGTTTCCCTATTGTCGGAAGAGGAAAAAGAGGATTAAATACAATCTGAGTCAATGGAATTTAGGAGAATTTGAGGAATCTTCGTTTTTGCGGAGTAAAAAAAAAGACACTCTCCCCACTCAGAAAGACCCCTGGGAAATGTTCATCGCCCCCCCTGCAGCCCTGACCATACCCCTGATCACCCTTTGCCCAATAGCGGTGGTTCATCCTCCGTCTCTGATGCCACCGCGTCTGGGACCCCCTTACCCTTGCTGCCTGCGCTGATGACTTTGTACCACTTCCGATGTCCAACCTCTAGCCTTCATCGTCTCCTCCACCACATGACTGCCTTCCTAAAAACCTTCGACGCTACCAATACTGCACCGCAGCCGTCACCTCCTCTGTCACAAATCCCCACCTCAGTTTCCTTCTCATCCCTTCTCCCGTCCGTGTCGCCCGCACGTCCCTCCTTTGGCCATTTCCGCGCCAAGCGTCACATTTTAGACGCACGGCGTCCTGGTGCCATCCCTGAGACGCTTTATACATCCAAAACGGAATTTTTATTTTGCATTCCTACAGCGAACACCGAGGCTCTGCGTGGGAGGACCACCGTTGAATCTCAAAAGAGAGGTACGCATTTTACTGGCCATTGAGGGGGGGAGGTGGGGATGGATGGGCTCATAGCCGCCACCGGATGGCGAGCCGAAGGCTAGGAGCACAGCGCCCCCACGGCCAGTGGCGTGTGGAGCGACCGCGTGGCGCGAGCATTAACATCCCAGTCACGGCCCCCTCCCGCTGTCGAGGCCAATAAGTAATCTGACTGCGCGCAAAAAAAAAAGAAAAGCACACAAAATCTTTACATGACACGCACACTAAAAAAAATATCACAACATTAATTTCCTTCTCACGTGAAACGAGCCATTTAATTTATATATATATACACACACTCTCACAGGACATGATAAAGCATTTCAATTTGAGCATAGGGCGATTTTTCATTTATTCCTTTCGTCATTCATTAAATAAATGGATGCCGCACGCCTGAAATTTTGCCACGGCAATGTTGGGGTTGGAAGGTCTCCCCAGACCCAGCTGAGATGTAATAATGCCGGACCACGTGGGTTCACGTAGGCAGCTTAGTGTCCCAGTGGCGAGCTGTGCCAGTGGCTAGCCACTGAGGAAGGTTTGCACCACGTCAAAGGTTACATTCTATGATTGATAAATTACACTGCAGCTAATGCAAAGTGGGCATTCGAGTACCTTGGAGATAACTCGCAAAAGTAGGCTCTCGTGTTCCCGTGTTGTAGCTTACAGTGTGGAATTTTAAAGATATCCACGATGGCATCGCAAAAAATATCATGAGAGTTGTTGTTTATTTACCCAGGTAAGCTTACGCAGAATTCAGCAATTCATTTTTTCATAACATTGAATGCAAGATTTCATGCAAGGGAAATGACAAAACATGTGTGTGTGATGCATTGGTAATGTAGTGGCGAGTACACTGTGCTACAAACCCCAGTGATCCGAGTTCGATTACCGCTCATGGACAATAACAGTGGCAGATATTTAAACCAGTCCTGGACCTCCCCTAGATCGACTCAGGCTTAATCATGTACCTGGTTTGGTGTGTAAACATCAGCACTGGGGAATCAAAGGCGGCCGAACGTCGAGCTGACCACCCCCACCCCTCCATGCGCCATGCAGGCCTTCATAGGTGCTCGCTAACGTCACTTGACCCCACAGCATGTGCAGGCTGCATGGAGGTATCTTTGGCTTGAGTGCGTGGGTGCATGTGTGCATACAGCCATCACAAAGGCAGGCTTGATCAAACTTAATGTGGGGAAGCTCTCTGCATTATTAATCAGTGGTCGCAGCTGGAGTTGATATTATCCATCTTCACAAAGGACTGCCGCAGCTGCTGGCATTAAGGCCTACGATAACAAATCTACACGAGCAACGATGCCTGACACAATGATATCACGAGTTCGAGCATTCAAAACGCCTCAATGAGTTCTCAAGACTCTTAATCGGGAGGGTCCAGCATGGGGTGTTTCACTGCTTCTGGGCCAGGTGGAATCTCCGACGGTGAGAGCACTTGACTCAACTACCAGAGGTTCGTGAGTTAAAATCAGTGGTCGACTCAGGCCACCATTCATTTGGAACACATTGCACGAGTGCCCTCTTCGCCCGAAGAATGTCGAATTATCCACCGCTGGTACGGAGCTCATTTCATCAGCGAAACACTTTGGCTTTGACTCTTTTTACACGAATGAATGTTTCAGCAGGTCCGAGGAAACAGCAGCACCTTTAGAAAAATCCCACACGTGAGCAGATAACACTCAGAACCGACAGCACAGCAACCTACATCCCATAAAGT